ATTTATATACATCACATAGCATGGTGGTATATCAAATTTCCATTTTTCACAACATAATTAAAATAATATAAAACAAGAGATAGCTTGCTTATGGCGCGGTAGATTACTACGTGAGTGGATGGCTAAGCGTGGTGGTAGTGCGATTCACGCACTTTCGGTAGTCTTTCCCCCAATAGTAACAATCAACCTCAATTAACTAATTAGCTAAAACTTATCATTTTACTCTTAACAATTATCTCAACAAGAGCTTGACCTCTGAAGTTAACATCAGAATTGAGTCTTTGCAACTATCCAAGTTTAGAGACCATGTCTATTCAAACAAAACAAGTTATAATGGAAAGAAAAACTCATAAATCAAACCTTAAAGAAGCTACATACCTCCTTCACTCAAGCAGGACGAGCTAGAGCCATTAGAGTGTTTTTTAAACTACTATAATTTGTATTTTCTGCTGGTTTCTTCAGATTGGAGTTTATCGTCAGTCGATTGTCACTCATGATTATGTTGCTCTTAGGCTAGATTTGGAGGAACAAAAATTGTGGACGATTATTGTGTTTCTTATGTTAGTTTCAGTTTGAGATTTACCTACTATCACATATGACTATTCCTTGTAATTTTATTGTGTGGTTAAGTTTGGTGCTAAGAAGAAAAGGACAAAAAATGGTGGTCTTTTTTTTTTGTTGGAAAGACAATATGACAAGTTAAACCTTGTGTTTGCTTTGGAGGGGAAGATGAGAAGTCAGAAGTAGCAAAAATTATAGAAGAAAAATAGAGGTGTGTTAAAGGCAAGACTTCTATTCTACTTTTTTATAGACAATTCTTACTTTTTATTAACCATTAATAATAAAATGAGGGATCGGAAAGATTAAGTTACTATTTTGGTAACCCTCAATGTGTAAAAGAGAAAGAGAGCAACATTTACTTTTTAATTTCAACCATTAATAATATCTACTCCATTTGTTATTATTTTGATAGACTTCTTATTTATAGTTATACTATGTTCGTCTTAGAGAAGTTTTTACCACATAGAATTTAGCAAAATTCACAAATTTAATGTCATTTTTATAATAAAAATACAAACCATCCCCTAGATATGAATTATTTTTTATGTAATGTTGAAAGATAAACCACATATAAATAAACTAGACATATATAACTTAGAAAAAAATCAATTAAACTCTCTGAGGGAACAACTAAAAGAATAATCAAAGTTTAAGAAAGAAAAAAATATTGTAATCCATGTACAAAAGAATACAAAAAGTCAAATTAAAGGTTGGTTTCAAACCAAATCCAAATGCATATTTCACTTTTTAACCTAATACTACAATTCTCAATGTTAAATTCCAAATCAAAATATCAAATCATCCATGGACACCATTAATGAAATTCAATAGAAAGTATACTCAATAAAAAAAATTTAGGACAAGGTCATCATCCGCAAAGTAGAGCGATAGTGCTTTACATCCACAAACATATTTGTTGCTCAAATTATTCCGCTAGTTCAAAGTTTCATTCACAGTAACAAATTTTTATTTACCATGACTTTTAGAAGACTAACTAAATTGATCCCAAGTTTGTGTGCCTACAACTCCAACCAAAGTCTAGGCAAAGTCAAGCAAAACTAATTCTATCGCATAGAAAATGAAACTCCATACTCAACCACAGTTGGATGTTACTTCTATCCATGGACAATCTAATACAAATAGGAAAATTAAGACATAAATTTTACTATAAAGCTTAAGAAAATACAGCGAGGAGGCCACCAATGTTTTCTTTGTAGTGCTTCACACTGAGCATGTTTAACTTCAGAGTTCTTGTAATTCTTTCATTTTTAACCTCACTCTGCCATCTATATAAATCCTTTATTCTATCTTCCAAACCATCGGCAACAGTAACCAAAACCTCAAGTAGAAGGAAAAAAACACAGAGACAAAATCATGATTAGGTGCTCCTGGACAGGCTTCTGCTAATTTCATTGACAGTCCTCGTTGCCTCCTCCTCCTCCGCCCGCAAGATTATCCTCAAAACGCACACGTATTGGATCGGCAAAGACAATGGAGTTTACGTGAAGCTCGTTGACAAAAATTTAGACTCGCTGTTTTACCATTAGTTGGACAAAAGGCTCGACCCTGACCCAAATCGATTGATTATCTATAGCCTCATTTTGAAGTCGGTGCAAATAGACTTTTTAGGTGGTAACATAAACAAATCGATTTGCAGAGCTTAGGCAGCTTTTTATGCCGCATTTAAGAGCATCTTCTTGGAGCGCCAAACTAATGATTAAAGATCGTGACCTGATGAGGCCATCACATTGAAATCAAAAAAATTCCCTTATAGCTTTGTTATAAATTTGGCGCGAAAGTTAATTTATGTCTCTCGTAAATAAAAGTTTCAAGATTATTGTGCATAGAAAATGCAATCCAATAATACACAAAGAATGTTGCACAAAATATAAAACATATAAAAGTAAAAAGACACATAAGATCTTCGATATAGCTAGAGAAACTAAGATTTCATCGTCTCTTAACCAAGATTCAAGAAGGCACTAAGCATAAGACGGGTGTTGGGTCTTTCTTAGCGCCTAGTTCGCTTAGGCGACGTTAGAAGAAAATAATATCATATGAGCCTATTTGCTTAGGGGCCATTTTGATATGAAATATCACATTTAAAATAACTCATCAGCCAAACAAGACATTTTAACCCAAATACCACATTCAAATTATAAAATAACACACAAATACCACATTTCCATAAAGTGAGTTATTGCAACCTACAAATAACTCAAACCAAAAAACTCATCCAAATGACCCCTTAGTCAAATGGCTAAAGTATTCTCACCACAAGAATGACTATAAATTCAAATATTAATCAATATGATTATTCAAAATATGCATTAACAATTAATGACACAAATTATAGTTTTGAAATTTTGAAAAGTTCGTAACTGTAATTAATTAATTTCAAATTTTCTAACCTTCTTTATCGCCTAACATCTTTCTCTCTCTAAATCTATAATTGTTTATCGCTCATTTATCTTTCTCCCCCCCCCCCCCCCTAATTCCATCAGGCTCTCTATCTTCCTTCTCAGAGTTTCTAGTGATGGTGGTCATATCTACTGTGTTGCTTGATACCTTCCTCTCTCTGCTTCTAAATATCTATCTCCTATGGCATTTTGGTGGTGTTGATCATATCTGCCACCATTGTTCCTCTCTTTCCCTTCTTCCTTTTTGGCAGCAAAGATGACGACAAATTCCTAGTTGTCAGCTCTCTTCTCATTATGCTATTTAAGTTTTATGTTGCATATATTTTCATAAATGGATGATCATCACTTTATGTGAGACTAAACGGTCTTAAATCAACACATGTCCACATCCCATCAATTTCACTTCACTTATTTCACCTTCTCAACGTTTCAGCTCTGTTGCTTGTGAGAAAATGGTGAAAACTTTCTCCCTCCCATCGTCGGTTCATTTCCTCCATATCCATAATTTCCATCCTCGCCTTTGCATTTTAGTCTTTCTCTCGCCTCTCAATCTCTCTAAAAAGCAACATCTTTTCTTTTCTTGTTTGAGTTTGTCGATTATTGTTTGAAAGCTGATTGAGACCAAGTACACCACTACAATGAGAGAACAAAACACCGCTATTACTTGAAAGGTCCAATCTTGTTCTCTTTTCGCCTTCGTAGCTATATCTTTTTGAAGCCTTGCCTCTCTTAGCCAATCCTTTGTTGAGGTTAGCAACTCTTTCTTCTTCCTAGTAAGATTTCCAACTATCAAATCTGCAATATGCAAATCTGTCCTTTTGTTGGTCACTCAATATATCATCCCTAACTCGAGACTTTATTTCTATCGGTGGTATATATTTCACAAATGGATGAGTCACCACTTGATATGCAATAAATGGTCGTAAGTCCACACCTGCCCACATCCCTTCAATCTCACTTGACTCCTTTCACCTTCTACATGTTTCTGCTCCCCTGCTTGCAAAAAATGAAGAAAACCTTTCTCACTCCCAGTGTCTGTTCACTCCCCCATATCCATAATTTCCGCCATTGCCTTTGCATTTAGTCTTTCTCTTGTCTCTCAATCTCTCCAACGAGCAACGTCTTTTCTTTTTTAGCTTAGGTTCGTCGATTATTGTTTGAAAGATGACTACTACTAGTACACCACTACATAGAGGGAACAAATCATTGATCGTTTCTTGAACGGGCCACTCATGTTCTCTTTTGTTTTCATAGCTATACATTTTCAAAGCCTTGTCTGTCTTAGTCATCCTTTATAGAATTAAGAAACTCTTTCTTCTTCCAAGTAAGATTCCAAACTATCAGATATGCAATATGCCTTTTTGTTTGCATTGTCGCGATTTTTCCAGTTTCTCTTTGCTGATGAAATTCTTAATCATTGACGAAAGTTAATAAATTGTTATCTTTTGGTTTGTCCATGTCAGTTTCAATTTTGGAATTCATACTTGATTTTTGTCAGTTTGTTTGTCCGGGTGCATGTTTCTCTTTGGGAAGAGGTCTTATATCTTCACCTCCCTATTATGCTCAATCTCCCTTTGCAACCAATCGTTGGAGACTATGGACTTAAAACGAGTCCAATTTAATAATATGGCATTTGGGTTGCCAACTTGCCATGCTCTGGTTTCAAAGTGCTGACAAATTTGACGTTGTCTGAATGCTACTTGGATTTCTCTAGCTGGAACCAACCACTCAACCTGTTTGCTCGATTCCCCATGTTGATGAATTTTTTGCTGATATCTTGCAGTTGTTCTCTTGGTGACGATCCTGAATATGATGAGACGATGAAGTGTTTGCAAGTGGCCTCCAATTGCTTAGCCTGGAAGTCGATGATGTATTTGGTTTTGATGAGATAAAAATAATTGCTCCTAATCTCAAACGGTGTACTTACAAGAATAAGATTTGTGACTTCTTTATGATAACATAAGTCTTGTTCAAAGTCCCTTCCTTAGAGAATGCCAATATCAAGTTGTTGGGATACAAGTACTTGGTCGATGAGTATAAGCAAGTGGCAAATCGACAGTATGCGAACTTGTTCCTTGGTCTGAGTAGAGCAATGTCCCTTGTCTTCCAATTCGACACCGCCAAGGTAAGTTTCCTGTAACTAGTGTAATGTGCACATGGTCATATCAATATAGTACGTCATATATGTTGTAAGATATTTTTCAATTTTTTTTATCTATCGAATTTTTGTGATTGCATTTCTTATGAAAGTCGTTATTGGTCTCTACTTGCTACGTGAGTTGGGTTTATTTCATGGAGAATTGGTAGAAATGTTAAATTTTTCCATGTTTTTTTTTTGTTTGCCTTGTGCTCCTGTTTTAGGAAGTCTTTGATGCTTGTGGCTTGTTGAGGGGTCGACTTTCTCCTTTTAAAGATTAAAGTCCCCAAGCTTGCGTCATTCAAAACCAACAGTCGACATACCAAACTATGTAACATGATTCTTTTTCAGTGAGTCACCTGTCAAATATGAAAAAGGTGTTAAAGTAACCTAGGTGAATCGATGGAAATATGCTCTTATAGTCTCGCTTCATTAAACCATAGTTACATATATACTTGTGTATATGGAATGCATATTTACATGATAATTTTTTTTGTTTAGTTGAGCTCAATTTCATTTTTTGTATGTAGGTGGAATGACTTTCAAGTACTTGGAAGATTTCACAAGCTGCAAGTCATTTCCTCTTGTGAATCTGTCGCAAAGTAGAAGCTCAAGATACTTCGGTTCCTATTTGTATTGTTTATTGAAAAACTAGGGGATAGGTCTTACTACTAGACCTAACTCATATAAGTTTACCTAGACAGTTGAGACTATAAACATTGGACTTGATGTTCTCTTTTATATTTGCTCTTATTGTCGACCATAGTGAAAGACAAATGAACTTCCCCAGATTATCTCAATGTTCATTTTAATTATTTTATGCTTCTTAGATTTTATGGATTTAGCAATTTGAATTCGGCGCGAAGTAAATAGGTTGTCATGTGGGATAAATCAATAAATTCATGACTTGAAGGGACTAGACTTAAAAGTTTATTTTTGAGTAATCAATTAATGAGTTTGACATGAAAGTTGAAAAATATAGTATATCACGTGCGATGAATTGATCAATTAATTAAATTTTATTTATGTTTGAATAATTCATACCTAAATTTGGTTAACCTACAATTATACAAAGTGTGGCATGGAACAAATCGGTCGTTCAAATTGTATAGCATATAATGTCACAGTAAGTGTAACTATAAGATTATTGTCCAATAATTATAAAAATAATTCAAAATTACTATGACAAGTAATTTAGCGTTAGAAATGGAAAAATCATTTTGATGCTCGAAACTAACTTTTGGTATTTGGAGTTAAGACGTTGATTTTTCAAGTTTCCATATTCAGAGATTTTGATGATAACACTTTAGAATTCGACGTTTAATTTGAATATGAAGAGCAAATATTTTAAACATTTTTTAGATTCTTTGCTAAGCTAATGATTATTGGTTAAACATAAGACTTCAGTTACCAAAAAAACCCTTCAGTTAGAAACCTCTATTCTCATGGTTAAGTAATGCGTTGACCAAAACCAAAGATTCTAATAGTCAACCAAACCATCTTAGTAATCTCCACTTCGACAACATGTATTGGGGGGAAACAAAGGAATTCCTTTCTCTCTCCTCTTTTCTCTCTCCTCTTTTCTTTGAACATGTCTCTCTCGTGATCCAAATTTTCAATAACCAAGGTCGAACGTGGGAATTGTTGTTTGGTGCCTCTACTTACCACCAGCTGCAATATTACAAACCGAAGATCACCAATGGTTTGTTAAGAATCCCTAAATCCATCGTGGAGAAAGGGGCTCGAAGGTTTGAGAACTCCTTGGTTGGTCAATATTAGCGCTCTCCACAGTCTTAGTTTAGCAACGATTAGGTTTTGGGCTAATTGGCTATGGAGGCGTGTGGGATGTAAAAGTTTCGTGGTTTGAGGATCGTTTAGTTCTCTTTCAGTTTTCGTTGGAGGATGTCTATAGATGGGTTTTTGAGGGAGGTCCAAGGCTCTATAAGGATAATCTATAGTGTGTTAGGCGTTGGGTGCCAAGGATTCAGGTGATTGAGATTGATAATTCGGCTATCCCAATCTTGGAACATGAGGGGATTTAATTGCCCCTCGAAGCACAGAGATGTGCTTGAGTATGTAGGTAAATATGGAATAAAGGTGCTTGCTCTTCTTGAAACTCGAGTTCAGAAGGCACACAAAATAAAAGACAAGTTTCTTGGGTTTACCTTTCGAGAGAACTACCAATACAATAAGTTGGGTAGAGTGTGGTTGGCATTGAGTTCGGATGTGCAAGTTAGGATATTAGCTAGAGATGCCAACTTCATTCACTCTCTAGCTATTATCTCGGCTCAAGATAGTTTTTTCTTTACTACGGCGTATGCATCCAATTATGAAGATGAGAGAATGGATACGTATAGAAGATTGAGAAGATGGATGGTCAGTGGTTTCCAGTGTCTGATTTGTGGCGACTTTAATGCCATTTTGAATCTGGTGGAAGCATCAAATAAGGTATTTATTATCCAAAGTGTGGTGACGTTCAGGAAATGGATTGAGAAGATGGAGATTGTTGATCACCAAGCTATTGGTCCATTTTTCACTTGGTCAAACAATCAAAGAGGTAATCCTATTGCTCAAAAGCTTGATAGTGTTAGGTAATGAGGAATGGATGGAGAGGATGCCAGACTGTGTTGTAGAGTTTCTTGCTCCTTCATTCTCATAATATTGCGACATATATGTTGGTTAGACCAAGGGTGACTAGAAAGAAATTCTCAAAGCCTTTTCGTTTATATGAGACGTGGATAGAGCATGAGAGTTATAATAGTATTCTACAATCTTCATGTGATAGACAAGCCTTTGCCCTTCATCTGCATGATTCCCAAATAGCTACTTTGGAATTGCCTTATGAGCTTTCTTTTGACAGAGTTAAAACTTTGGCTTCTGAGTTCAAGACTTTGCAATCTATGGAGAATCATTCTATAGGCATAAGTCTCATATTTAGTGACTTACTGTGGGAGACTCTAATATGTCATTTTTTCTATAAATCCACGAAGATAAGGATGACTAGGAATCAAATAAGGAAGATTGTTTTAGCTCAGAGAAGAAGATAACAGATGAAGAGGAAATTGCCAAGGAAGTAGTATCATTTTTATCACTCACTCTATGACATTGTAATTGTGATGTTCACCCTTGCAGACAATTAATCAGGGACTATATAAGAGGGAGAGCTGGAACAGATGGGAAGAAATCTCTTTGTCAAGAGATAACTAAACAAGAAATTAAAGATGCACTATTTAATAGGGCGTTACTATTCGTCGCCCTAGATTTTTAAATTCTATCGCCCTAAGTCATACGAATTTACAAAGCTGCCCTTCACTCCGGCGGGTAGGGAGAACAGGGAGAGCTTCGGCGGTTGATTGGTGGCGTGGGCGGCGGCAGGCCGGCGGGAGATTACTGGCGGACGCCCTTCACTCCGGCGGGTAGGGAGAACAAGGAGAGCTTCAGCAGTGTAGTGATGCCGCCGGAAGACTCGTCCCTGCAGCCGTGGAGTTTTGGGTTGGAAGGAAACAGTTGGGATTTTATGGAGATCAGGGAATCGGGGAATGGGGATTGATATGGAGATGGAGAGATAAGGTTGAAGTCAGGGAGGAGTTATATGTATGTGAAGGGAATTGAATGGGGAATGTGAAAATGGTGGGCGGAGGGAGAGAAGAAGGAAGGACGTCTAGGCTTCCAGCTGCGTGCTTCTTCTTCTTCAGGGGCAAAATCGTCTATTTATGTAAGTCTAGGGCGATAAATTCAAAAAGTTAGGGCGACGAATAGAAATTCAGATTTAATATGGATCCTTCAAAGGCAATAGATCAAATGGTTGGTCTGTTGGATTCTTTCACAGAAGCGGGAGGTAATTGATAAGGATATTTGTGCTAGAGTCAAAGACTTTTTTCAGAAAAAATAGTTGTCTCGAGGGATTAATGTGACTTCCCTAACTCTATCCCCAAATATACCAAATGCTGAATCTTTCTCTTCTTATAGACCAATTGCTTGCATTAGTATTCTCTATAAGATCATCTTGAAAATTCTAGCAAATAAGATTTAGATTCTTACATGAGATTATTAGCAGTAACCAATCAACATTTTTTAAGGGTCGAAGTATAATGGATAACATTTTGGTGGCGCTTAAAATAGTTCAAAATTATAATATGAAAATGATGTTTGAGGAGTATTTTTAAGATCGATTTTCATAAGGCTTTTGATTCTGTCTACTGGAGCTATCTTATGTTGGTGCTTGATGAAATGTACACTACATAGGAGGGTACACTACATCCGATCATCCGCCCATTCCTTTCCAGAAGCCAAACCGCCCTATTTTGCCCCCACTATCCACTGCTGCCAGGGTCCGGTTCGATCGGTTTCCGTCCCAGTTCGACCATTTTGGTTCACATGGTTCAACCGAGTTTGGTTCGAATCGGTACGATCCGGACCAGTTCGGTTTGAGTCACCCCGAATCGGTCCGTTCCTGTTGGCCCTGCCCGATCCCGGTCCGCCCTTTTCTGTCGGCCAACCGCCGCCCAAGCCCAGTCGGTTAGGATGGTGGTCGCCGCCACATGGTCTCCCTCTGTGTGTCAAACTCGGCCCACTCTCTGCTCTGGTCAATCAAGCTCATCTCCTCTGCACTACAGGCCCAGTCGGCCCGTTTCTCAGTCGGCCCACGGCTACTCTGAACCCGACCTCGCCCTGCTTCCGGGCCCATGGGCTCGAAACCCATCTCTCCGCCACCGATTCGTAGCCCCGCATCTTGGCCTTCCCGCGCATTGTCGTGAGCTCCTGGGCCGTCGGAGTCGGTAGCAGGCCCGACCCATGATTGGGTTGGATCGACCCTTGCCCCGCGCGTCTTTTCGTGTCTCCCGGCGGAACCGTGCCGCGCTCACCGCCTTCCGCGCGCGGCCTCGTTGCCCTTGCCCCCGCTGCCTCTTCAGCCGCCGCCATCACCTCGGTCGCCGCCGCCGCCGTGATCACCATAGTGGTGATCTTCTTTGCTCCCACCACCGCCTCTCCAACCTGCTATGGTGGTGCGGGCAGCCCCTGAGATGCTAGGGTCGCCTTCATCAGCTCCATCAGTGACCTCAGATCGTCACTGTTCCTTGTCGACATCTCTTGGAGAGTTTCGTTCACCTCTCCCATGCGAACATGAAGGCTGATCTGATGATCCACCATTGTTTGCAGCAGCCGCTTGATGTCCTCCTCGTGTGTGATATCCTCCACGGTCACGGTCTCCTGCAGCCTTCTCTCTGGGGATTGATCTGACGAACTCATCTTTATCTTGACCCAGACACTGAGCAGGCTCTGATACCACTCGAAGAAACCTGCGGATCTAGGAATCTAGCGTCTAGGGTATGAAATTAGGGATCGATAGAGATTAGGGATTTAGGGGGATTGAGGAGGGTGATTGGAGGTAGGAGCGAGAGTTGGGGAAAGAGAGGAGGAAGGGGATCAGCGGCCAGGGTGGCCGACGAAGGGAAGAGGGGAGTTGAGAGAGAGATTGGCCGAGTTTAGGGGGAGAGGAGAGGGATTTAGGGTTTTGGGGAATTCTGTTATTATTTTCTTAATGAGTAATCACCCACTAATTACAAAATATATAACCCGAATAATTCCCGCCAGCTACCCCAACTATTACCCTTGAGCCTATTAATCCGAATAGTCCTCAAATGCACCCAAAACCCATAAGTAATACCCAATATTCCCCAAACATAAATAAAACGACAAACAAGTCCAA